GCATTGGCCCAAAAACGCACTCTTAAGTGCTGGGCAATTAGATGCCACAAGTAATAATAATGCATGAAAATAGAAGCAACCCAAACAGAAGCCACACTTGACATTTTGCTGTTGTTATTTCAGCGCAAAACTGACGACGCCCATCCGGATTAGATCTTAGATTAGATCTACAAAGGATCTGCAATTTTCGTAGTGTAAAAAATAATACTTTAAGTCCTTAATTAAGGCAGCAAAATACATTTTGGGTGGTCGTCGCAGCAGCAATTAGAGAGTCCATTTCTCTCGGGAGCAAGTCTAAGAACTATCTATTTAGTTTGTAATGAAATTATATTCCAGTTCTTCCAATCTGTAGTATGGATTCCTTAAAATTGCATTGGCTTACCTTTATTAATTAATTTCTAAAATTTGTTTGTCAAAGTAGAAAGGATTATTTTGAATTTCCAAATTGGTAAAATTCAAATGTGACAAACTGTGCGATTATTGACACTTGAATAACTGTTTGGATTCTGTGTGAATTGTCCAGAAATTATATTGAGGTCATGAGCTAAGAGGCCTGCTAATAGTGGCAGATATAATTGCTAAGCCTCAACCCTTTTCCCGTGCCCAGCACAGCCTACTAGCGGGCAGGTGTAATCTTAATCTTAAGCGCCCTAAACAGGTCAGAAGGACGTAGGTAGTCGTAGGCTAAGGTAAAGGTTAAGGGTCGCGCAGGTCTGGGTTTTCCGATCCCATTTGCCGCACTTATAAAGTCAGGGTCAGAGGCTCTAGCAGGAGGTTGTAAAATCCAAGACCCAAGCATAAAGCGAAAAACTTCGGTTGCAGCGCTAGGAATTTCCCGAATGTCATAAAAGCGTTCTGAATGATTCCCAAACCTCGAGCTAAAGTCGGTCGCATTGCGGATCATCATCATCATCATCAGCACGATGAAAGATGGGCAGTGACTGCCATTAGGGTCTGGCAAGAAGGTACGGAGGCAGGGTGGTATTGAGGACTACCTAAGCGCCGGCGACAGCGGCGAGCAAAGTTATCACATTGGGTATGTAACTACATTTATCACAACCTAATATGACAACTCGAATAACTTTTGCCTGTCTTCGATAACCCCCTCCCCATCACTCCTCTCCCACTCTTGCTATCCTCCTCTCTCTGATTGTCAAGTTGTCGCGACGACTTTTGTCTGCTTAGCTCTTGCTCTGTTTGATGTTGCAGCATTTGAGTTTCGCTAATTGGAACATATTTCGTATACACTTGCCGAAGGTATTATAACATTTTCACAGATATCGTAAAATATATATTCACTTCATAATATGTATTTCAATGGAAATTAAAAGTCTTCTTGTTAGAAACCTTTGACAATAATTTACAGTAAAAAGCCTATTGGCCTCCAAAGTGTTTTGTGTTTGGAATGCTCCAAGTCTTAAACAGATTTTACTCTGGATAAATTTTAAGTCTATGATCTTAATTAAATCATAATCAAACTCTATAGTTTCGAAAGGACTTATCGCAATTTGCAGATATTATTATAAGCATTGCGATAGTTTTGTCCATCATTTGTTCCTTGTAATATTTGTCATCACAAAGTGTATTTAGTCTTCGACAATCGTTGGACAATTGATGTTCACTCGTGCAACCATGCAACTCTGTTGCATGATGTACGCGCAGTTCGTTTGCGATTTATGCATCCTCTTGTGCACAATGAAGATATCAGAGTCGCCTTCATGGAGATCAACTATAGTTGCGAATAGTAGTTGCGACTATCGAAATTGTGCAACAGCCCCAGGTGAACGAGGGGTTGGGGTAAACACTGTGCCTGATTTTGGGGCAGTTGCCGGCGCACATCAATAATTCATAACGCTAATTAATAACGCCCAGTTTTAAATATGTTGCGTGCGTGAGATGAAAGCAAAAAATGCCGCCCTATGCACACACATAACAGGATAATGAACTCGATACTCCACGCCCCCGCGGCGCCCCCTAGTCAGTCCCCCCAGTACACCTTCTCCTTGCTCTGCCTTGCTTGCCCTCTTGGTGCCCTGGTGCCTTATTGAAATTCAAATAAACCCCTTTTTGAACACGAGCGGTTTTTGTTTTTATTACTTTTAGTTGCGGATTTTTGTGTGCGTTGTTTTCTGTATCTTTTTGGTTATATCGCGGCGTTTGCATCACGCCTTAGGTGTAAAAATAAATGTTTAAGGTAACAACTTCTTAAAGAGCTGAATTATGGGCGACCGACAAACTGAACGCCCGCACTTCTCCCCGCCCAGTGCGTGGATCATCGCCATCAATCTGTGGATCCTTAGAGAGCCACAAACTGAAACTGAAACTGAAACTGTGCCTTAGCCTATAATTTGTACAAATTTATTTGGCTGATTGATGCGACGGCGGCACGTTTCGTCTTGCCACAAAAGTTGGGCATGTGGCGCGCCGAAAAATCTATTAAACAACATTCTCAATTCACTCCTAAGAATTCAAAAACTAAAAAAAAAACCAGCTGCCCCCTTCATACAAAAAAATAAGAAGAGAACAATATAAAACTTGACAGTTGCTGTTTATCAAATGCTCATTTCAAATTGTTGCCTTCTTTTTAATTTTTGTTGTATCTGTTTCGTGAAAGGTGAAAGTTCTTCCGGCGCTGTCGTTTTCAATGCCCCTCTTTAATCCTTGCTTACTATATTATAATACAAGAGCTGCAGTAGCGTTGCAATATCTTTTGATAGAAAGACAATTGCATTGAGTTGTCAAGTGTCAGCGTTGACATTGAAATAAAAGAATTGAGAGCTGAGAATAGAGAAGATACCCTTTACACTTCCCAATGGGGTCGCAGACGCAGTTCATCTTCTTCTACTTTTTCAGTGCACACAATGGATTTGACGGGTTTACATTGTTCTCTTGCTCTTTAATGTGTCAAAATATAGTCTAAGAGAGAGAGAGAGAGTGTGAGTGAGTTTTGTTATTGTAATGCAAAATGATTTATTGTTTGGTTTTCTTTTTTTTTCTTTTGGGCGTGGGAGCGACAACAGACTTTAAAAAGGATTTCGAATTATATACAAGGTATGTGTACTACAATGTGAACTGTGTTAAGAGCTAAGATGGACTTGAGTAGATGGTAAATATCTCATATATATGTTTCTATGAAATGAGCTGCCTTTATTTGTTCTTTTCTTGAAAAATCGTGTTTCCAAATTTAAATGCAGCATTAATTTGATTTGTTCTTCACATAGTTTTGGCTCTGTCGAAAGTTGCAATGCGATCGATAGATGGTAGCTATATGATATAGTCAAACGATCTAGCGAACTGCAACATAAATATGAACCGATTGAAGTAAAAATATGGCTTTGATAATGGGGAATAGTAATGGAATTAGATGTGGCTATATTGACTTGACTAATGGTGCTGATCAAGATTATATATAGGCTTTGTAGTGTCCTCAAATAAAACCATGAAATTGAAATCTCTGGTTGTATCATTCTTTTGAATTCCCAAATTCTTTCAATGGACAATTCAAATGTTCCTCTGCAGATTTTAATCTACCATATCTATTTGTTAAAATGATTCATTTCCTTGGACTTCTCGCTGATTATCTCTGGAATGTCTGCTAAAGACAAGATTTGGACATGAACTTGAACAATTTTCGTCGATTGAAACTTTTTGAAGAGTTTTTGCTTGTCAGCAAAATAATAAAATAATTACCTTGAGAGATTTAACAAAAGTTTGATAAGTAAAAAAAACTTGCTTGCAGCGCTTCTATTTTGTACATATTTATTTTTTATTTATTGTATTTCCGTTTGGCGAAATGTTTGAATTCAATTGAAATCGCATATCGGGGCAAGTTATTTGAGTTGTTAGCGAGATAAGACGATTTCCCCGTACTACTAGCCACCCTCTATCTGACTTTGTCTCTGTCTCGATCTCTCTCTATCTCTCTCTCTCTATGTATTGTTGTCTCGCTTGCTCTCCAGAGTTGTTTGAGCACGCGTCATTACCATTATCAGCTTGTGGCCTCTGAACCTACCTGCGCTTTTTCTCTTCTTTTGCTTCGAGTACATAATTTGAATTTTGGAGTTTTTTTCTTCAACCACGCGCCAAAGCGGGACTCTTTTTTCTGGCTTTTACTTTTAGCCTAATCTAGAGATTCGGGGGCTACCTGATGATGACGATAGGCGTGTCTCTGTCGATTAGCCCAAGCCAAATGGCAACGGGTTAAGAGCTCAGGGTTTTTTTTCTTTTGTTGTTGTTGTTGTTACTTTCGGGTCAAACTCTTTGATTTAGAGATGACCCTTGCGCTAATCCGCACTCTTATTTCAGATTAGTATTAACGCTTGCTGACTGCCCGAATACAAGTAAGTCGCCACAATCTGGCCATAAAAGAGCAAAATGGCCCAATAGGGTCCACAGACCCGCACATCCTTGGCCAGCTGTGCTCCCAGGCTCCCAGTTTGCAGTCCAATCAATATTTATATTGGTTGTTTGCAATTAAATTTCGCAGTTGGCCGAGGAGGAACGGGGTTTCTCATCAGGCAGCCCGCATAATTTGCTTCATAACTTTACGATGCGATCTCATCTACTATATATACCCTATATATATATATAAATATATATATATTGCACAGGTTGCTGTATATTGCCATCTCCTTTCTCGTTTCAAGTAAAAGATCTTGCTTTTTTATGCTTATAAATTGTGTGTGTATTTTTTTTATTTTCATTTACAACAACTAATTAACATTTATTAGTTTGTAATAATAGCAAAAAATATTATTATATTGTATTATTATTTTATATACTGGTCTCAAGTTGCTTACATTTATATAAAATACAAAAAAAAATGGTCTTAAGTTAAGCAAAAAAAATTAAGTTTATTTTTTATTTATTATTGTATATTTATGCATAGGAAAAAATCAGAGTCTATATACAATTTGAGGCACTTGGTTAAAAAAAATGAAAAAAAAAATTGACTAGAAGGCAAAATGTGTGAAAAACAGGAGCCAATATTTAGTGGGTAATTATTGCTCCTGCCACAGGGAAATGTAGTCTAAGATTTCCTCATCATCCGGCGTGCAATCCTCCTCGTCCAATTGGAAATGCTCGTAAGGCTCGAATTTGAGCTGTGGCACGTTCGGTGAGAGTTGTTGCGGTGCTGCCTCATAGGTACCCGAGTCAAATGACATGCTCGAATTGAAGGACGATGTCGGCGAGTGGCAGGCAGAGGCTGCTACTGCTGTGCCTGTTGCGCCTGCTGCTGTTTGTTGCACGCTGTTGGTGTTGTTGTTGTTAGTGTTGCTACTGTTGCCATTGAGGGAAATTGGCGTTAGCGGATTATTGGGAAACTGTTGGCGCTGCAATTGCTGCTGCTGCTGCAACGGTGTGGGCGTAGCAGTTGACAGCAACGCACTCGTATAATACAAATGATGTTGCTGCTGTTGTTGCTGCTGCTGCTGTTGCAGTTGCTGCTGATGCTGTTGACTGCTCGAGCTGCAAACGGAGCTGTGACTCGATTGGGAACTGTTGCTGCTTGTCTCGTCCAGGCAGAGATTCAACTGGTTGCAGATGCTGCTGCTGTTGTTGTTGCTGCCGGGTCCACCATTCAGATCATCGACGAGATCCTGCAGCCGACGAATATATTCGACAGCGATGCGCAGCGTGTCCACCTTGGAGATCTTCTTGTGTGGTCCCCGTCCGCCCCCCTTTGTCAGATCGGCGATGATCGATTGTGGGATATGTTGACGGAGTCGGGCAAAACTATTATTCACCTGCTTGACCCGATTCCGTTCACGGGCATTGCGACGTTGCACGGACTGCGATTGATCCACATTGTAGGGTGACGTTGAGTTGCAACAAATCGTTGAGATTGTTGAGTTGCCACTGTTGCTGTTGCTGCCACTGTTGCTGCTGCTGTTGCTACTGGTGCTGCTCGCTGATGTTGCATTTGCCAGCAGCATGCCACGCGGCACATATTTGCGTGTCTTAATCAGCGCCACCGAACCAGTTGCTGCTGTTGTCGTTGTCGTGATTGGCGATGTCTTTAGATCGGGCGCTGGCATTATGTGCTGATAGCGATACATTTTTGTTGCACCACCAATTGTTGTGGGAAATAAATCGATGGCGTTTTTGCCACCAACATTGAACACCACACTGGACATTGTCGCGCACAACCAAAACACACACACACACAAAAAAAATATTTATTTATTTAATTACTATTATTTTTTTATAATATTTTGTCGTTGCAAATTTAAAAAGTGTGCGTTTTCTTTTTCTTCGTTATTCGTTTGAAAATTTCAAGTTGATCGTTTGACACCTTGCACAAGAATGAGTCCCTTCGTCCTAAACCTTCATATTTTGTACCTTTCGCATAAAGCGAAACTCACTCACAACGACTCTCTTTCACTCGCTCGCTCTCTCTCTCTCTACCTGTGTGTGTGCAGGTCGCTGTTTGAGCAACCACCTGGCAATTGACTCACAAGCCTGACTCGCTACAGGTAGAGAGAGCAATATAGCGAGCCGGCGAGAGAGTGCGCGAGAGAAATGGCACTCAGCTCGGCGCTCTCCTCGTGCACACGATCATAATTATGCTTGCCTGTTTGTTCGCGTTCAACATAAAAAAAACTGTTCCCACTCGAACCGCGGCCGTTGAGCTGCGTCTTTTGCCGCTTGATTGAGTCGAGTGCTTGAGCGCTAGGATCAGTTGGCTCGCGCTGCGACTGAGAGTGAGATCAGGCGGCAGGCAGGCGCACGCAGATGTTCTGCGCCCGCCTTTTGCCTGATTTGTAGCGCATTTATGGCTTATTCTGCTGGCGGCTGCTTGGCATGCCAGCAATTTGATTTCCGTGTTAATTAACTTAGCAAAACTTGCGATCGTCGCTCATTTCATGTGCAACTCACGCAGACGCCCCTCTTTTCATTAGTTGCCACAAGCAGCACTCGCTAAACACAATATAACTTCAAAAAAGGGGCAAAATGCTTTAACATGCGCGTGTCACCAGCAGACAGACTGAGCGACAGACAGACAGACACACAGACAGACGGACACGCAGACAGACCGACAGCAGTAGAGGGTTTTGCTCCTTGGGTGTAGCTTATTAGCTATGCAGAGTCAGGTTTCGATCAGGTGTTCGAACTATTTCACAAATGCCTCTAATTAAACGATCAACAAGATCACAAGTTTTTCAAACTTCCGTTTCAGCACTCTCCCTCTCTCTCTCTGTCTCTCTCACTCGCTCTCTGTGTCCCACTCTTTCTACACACTCAGAAAAGAATCACCCTAAAATATTGAAAGTTTTTGTACTACAAACATTAATAATTATCATATTTAATAATCACATTTTATTTTGAATATGTAAATTAAAATTCAACAATTTGACATATCTTAGAAATAATTTCTAAACATAAGTAAATGTATTTATAGAATTTAATCGATACCAAAAATAAGGTAATTTTTCACATTTTTTTTATAGAAATGCAGAACCAAATTTGTAGAAAATATCCTTTCTAAAATTCAGAAAAAGTGATGAAATTTACTGGTTCAGCTGTGGGAAGTCACTCAACTTTTGTCAAGTTGAGTAAATGAATTTTATAAGCTATGTAAAATGTCATACTAATTGCTTATTAATAATATAAGTTACACAAAAATTCCTCAATGTATACACATAGAAAACAACATATTGTAAATTAGACATACTTTTTCTAAATCGCATTAAAAATCCAGTCTGAAATTTAGGAATGCAAGATCCTAGATTTTAGTACAAATAATACAAATGTACTCACTGAATAAATTGGTTGACTAATCATCTATGGCAGTTTTTTTGTGAGTGTATGCGCGTTTGTTGTTGTGTGGTTCGTTCCATGGCCAGGTGCTGGTTTTATTTGCCAGCATTGGTTTTATTTTGGCGGCATGTTTTGTCTCTCAACTCTTTCAACTCGTTTCTGGGCATTGTTTGTGTGTTTTGCTGAACCATCATCGATTGAGCCGCGCACCCGGTTTCGGTAGCCGTGTCAATTTTTCCCATTTTCTTCCCACTTTTTCCCATTTTTCTCAATTTTCAATCGCCGCAATTCACATTTGACATTTTTGGCAAAAACTCTTTTTCCTTTGTCCTTTGGCATGACAAACCGACGGCGTCAGCATCCTTTGAACCATTTGCGTAGTGTCCTTGTTTGCATGCGTTTTGTGCCTTGTAATGCCAAGGGAGCTAAATACACACACACACACACACACCAATACATGTTGGACTCGATTATTTTGGCATCATTAACACTTTTATTGTAAGCAGCAAACTCGCCAAATTTTCGCATATCCTTTGACATGCTTGCTATTGAAATTGATTTGATAAATGCAACCTGGATCTTGGCAAGCAATCCTGCTGAAATGTTCAAAATAGGGTTGAGTTTTGGGTTTTTGTTGCCTTTTGTCTTCTGACCTCGGCGAATGCATAGCTCTGATGATGGCCCATTGTAGTCGGCATTACTCTAATGCTTCTGTGCATATATATACACATATGTACACATACATACATATATATAAATATAGCAGTGTGTTTGCGTAATGATCGCCAATTGGAAAGCATAACGGATCGTGTCAATAGATGGGCTAATGGTCAAATACTCGAGTGGCAATCCCGACAATTGATTTGACATACTTTGGGTCATGTAATCGCATCATATAAATACTACATTGAAGCTACAGATTTGGGCTCAAATTTTGCACAAAATCCGTTCCAAAATGGTCAGCCTTCCTATTATTCAGAAAGTACATTTCTAAAATTTATTGTTGCATTTGCATTTTTAAATTTCAAGTTGGATTTTTGTAATACCTTGAAAATCTATGTGTAATTTCCATCCGTCTACTAAATTAAACTAAGATCGATGAAAGTTTTGATGGATTATAATGATAACATTGTATAACAGATATTATTGGGGGCCTGCCAACAACTTGATAGATAAATTGTATCTCCATCTGCTAGCCCTTATCCTACATATATTTATGTATATATATGTATATATTAATTTGAAGTCAAAAATAAATAGCAAATCATAGTCTTATGGTCACTGAGTGCTTTCTATATGCAAAATACGAATAAGAGTCGCGATTGCGAGATAAATGAATCTGTACTTAAGCTCTGGGAGCGTAGAATCAAAGGATCAAGGTTGGATGCAGGTCAGGTAATCTCAGCAGATCAAAGAGTCAAATCTTGCACATATGGAGAGATTCAGATTTAGATTCAATTTCAGACTTGTATGTGTATGTGTGTGTGTGTATAATTTTCGTTAATCTTTAGATTAGTTATCAACTGATCTATGCCAAAACTGAGCCTTACAGATCAAGTTTTGAGTTTTTTTTGGATTTTTGGTTTTGGGTTTTCTTTGCCAGCAGAGTTGAGTCTCTTTTTTTTAGCAACTGGCTCTCTGCCTCTGTCTCCCTCTCACTCTCGTTCTCACTCTCACTCTCGCGCTCTCTCTCACTCGCTCTTTTTTCGTTTATGGAAGTTGTTGCCCCTGGCACCAGCAAACAACACCTCCGCCGCCCCCGTTCACCGTTGCTGTTTCATATCCTTTTGCAACGCTTGGAAGATTTAAATGCATAATTATTTTGATATGAAGCATAGTTCCGGGACCGCGGACCCAGCAACAACAACAGCAACAACAGCAACCAGGCAACCAGGGCGCGTGCGTTAATTGCATGCATGTGAGACAGAGAGAGACAGAGAGAAAGAGAGAGCGAGACAGGAAATGGTTTGGACAGGACAGGCATATCCTGACTTGAAATTGGGGCGCAGCAAGCGTTCAGCGTCGCTTTTCCAACTAAAACTTGAAATGCAAAAATGAATGTTAATTGAAACAAGTTTTCAGTAAGGACCTGTACCCCTCCCCCAGCGCACCCTGTTCCTGCTGCCAGCGTTGTCCGGGCAACGATGCGTTTTTCGTAGTTAATATTTTAATTAAATGCAGGCACAGGACTCGCTCGCTCGCTCGCTCGATGGCTGCCTGGCTGGCTGGCTGCCTGCCCCAGACTCTCGACCTGACGCGTGGCAGGTGTATTTAAGCGAGCAAACACCACGAATCGTTTCTTCCTTCGCTGCGATCGTTGCATGGGGCACGAACTTAGATACATCCATCTGCCTCTCTCTCTCTTTCTCTCTGGCGCTGCAGCTGAAAATGAAACACATTTGCTAGGGGTTGCTTGCTTGCCTGCCTGCTTGCCACTGCCGCTTGTATCCAAAAGCAAAACAAAACCAACAAAAAAGAAAAAAAAAAACACTTAAGAAATAGGGGAGCTGGCAGCGGCTCATTGAACTTTGCTAAACAGAGCACAACAGCAGCTAAAGTTCAAGACGCCAAATCCAAAATCAACTTGGCAAACTGAGATCGACGGTTCAGCTTTCTTGAATCTTTATTTATACCCTTGCATAGGGTTTGTATAGGTTTGTCATGAAGTGTGTAACACACATTGCATGCAACATTTGCGATCAAGTTGCACATGTATATTCTGTTATCCTTTGTCTTTCAAATTGTGTCCAGAACTGGCCAAATATTCAAGCAGGAAAGTTTTTGGAGTATAGAAATAAGAAAACGTAAAAACCCAGCTGATATTAGGAATATATTCTTGAGACAAGGGCAAAATGTTTAAAAACTTAATAAAAGAAATACAATTTCAAAGCAAGCGTGTATTTTTAGATTGGACTTATATATGGGATCCTTGATCTTCTCATTTTTGATTTGAAATTAAAATTTCTTATTTAAGATTTTCTATTCTAGATTGATAAAATCTTACATCAAAATGCGCACTTGTAATAATAATTATAATAGTAATAATAATGGTAATTTTAATAATGATAATAATATTAATAATAATATTAATAATATTGCAAGAAATTACATCAGAAAGTGTATCAAAGTTTCGCTTCTGCGGTGCACAGAAGAAAAGTTTAGTGTATCTTTTATTTTTTATTTTGGGGTTTGGGGTTTGCCTTAGTAGTAGCAGTAGTCGTGGGACAAGAGAGACAAAAACCCACAAAGACAGACACAGCTGATAACTATCATTACCCGCAGCATAGGATATACCTCTCTCTGTCTGTGTGTGTGTTTGACTTTTGTTTTTATATATTTGGCTGCAGTTCTGTGGTCTAAATGTGAGCCAGTGTCT